ATTTATTGCTGCATTATGTTAATTCCTAGCACAAAGAAGTAAATTAGACAGATGTGACCTTAATCCCTTTTTTCTATGTTTGTCCTGTCTTCCTACTGTTTTTTTAATATGCCATACATATTGATCTCTTATCTCTATTGATAGTCTGACATAGTTCATTTTTCAGGCTAATTTACTTCTTAGAGTTTTCCTTGGTTGGAAAATTTAGTAAGATCTGTGCCTCCAGATCCAAACATACCAGTTACATAGGCAAACACCGTCAGAATCAAGAGACTTTATGCGTAAGACAGAATATTTCCTTTACCTGCGTGAGAATTTTCGCTCTGGACAAAGATGCAGTATCTCCAAGTGAAGCTTGGACTCAAATCTGCATGCTTCAGGGGACTCCCATTGAAAGGGTTTCCCTCCATGGGCTCACGAGAGGGAAGGCCCCAAAGTGGATTTGGGAATGTAATTTCTTTTATCTAAAACAAAGATTCTGAAAGGAAAAGATAATGGCTGAGTGAGATCTAGTCAAGCATGCTGAGACAGCCTTCAGTGAAGGTGCTGGATATTTATGACTAAAGATCAAAGTCAGATTTTTTCACTAGAATCACTTTTTCCTTAGATACAGCTCGTATCTTCTGCTCTTTGTCCAGACTATGAAGCAGAAAACAAGTCAGCCAGGAAAATGTGCGTTTTCCCATTGCAGTTCTCCAATTGCTGAATATCTTTGTTAGAAGGTTCAAGCCAGAGGGAGGAAAAGAGAGGACTTGACTGTTGTGCTGTTTGTTAATTCCGGTAGTTACAGTGGTAGTTACCTGCTCTTAATGCTGCTCTTCCAGAATACACACAGCTTTGGGGTTTGTGTCTTTACTCTCTGAATGAGATTCCTCAGCTTTCATAGTTTTCCTGGTTACCGTAGGTGTGGTGGAGCAGTTGGCATGTGGTGAAGCAAGTCTGTATTGCCCCCTTACGACAGTCCTGCCTGTGCATCGCTCAGGCATTTAGGGATGCCATCTGATCAGCCAGATCAAGAGGTCAAATTCTGCCCCTTACTAAAGCAGCCCGGTGGGATTAACTTTGGGTCTGGCTGATCACAGGCCATGTGAACATTAGTGCTCCCATGAGGGCATGAGAGCCTTCTGAAAGTGGATCAGCCTGTGAAACAAAGTCTCAAAATGAACCCACTGGTGGTAACATTCAACACTGCCTTGCAGTCCCAGTCCTGATTGCATCCTGAAACTATCATGGCTATAATATATTTTCTTGTGTTCTCCAGTACTTTCCAACCCTTAGTCTTTTATGCTTGTGGACATTTAGGTGCAAGTGGGCAAGTGAAGGAGAAATGTGTTCTGGAAACATTCTCTGTCAATACCTTTTTCTCTTTTCTCTTAGAAGTGAAGAAGAAAGCTGGCTTTATCACTCCAGTACCAGGAGGGGTAGGACCTATGACTGTTGCAATGCTTCTGAAGAACACACTCATAGTTGCTAAAAAGCTCGTTTACTAAAGCAAACTGACTGGCTACTCTGGAAGAAGAATCCAAGTTGTTCTATTTATTGATACACAAAACATTTATTTTTACTACAAAGATATTTATTTCTACATTGTATTTATTTTTAATGTGAAGTATATTGAACCTGACAGTTTACAAAACGTTAAAACACTTTGTTTTATTTCCTACTGATCTATTGTGAGCAAAAATGAATCGGAGGGTGCAGCCTTTACAGTTATGCTATTTTTTGTCAACTGTGTGTGTGAAAATGAAGAACAAAGCATAGTTTACAAATATACATGTGTATCTTTACAAAATGATTTGAGCCCTTTGGGCCCTCCATGTTGATTAAGCTGAATGAAAACTAGGTTTCAACATGCTAGTTTTCTTCTGAAAATATGATTTGGGTTCCTCAGTCATGAAGCAATCTTGAGTATGATGTATAATTTTTAATTCCTCTTAACAGGATGCTCAACAGCAGAAATCTAGAATCTGTAGGGAGTGAAAAACTGGAGTCTGTGTTTCAACTGCAAGGCAGGAGTGTTGACCTGAAGGCAGATGTTTGGTACACATTTTAAAATGGTCATGTAAGCTTAAACACCATGCGCTAAATTCTAGCCATAAATGTATACAAGAGTTATGCATGAATAAGGGGCTAGAATGGAAGCCAGAACTGTTATTTTGATATCCAGAGTTATTATTGGCAAAATGTGTTAGTTTTCCTTCTTCCTTTGCTCCCTTCTGCCCCACCCCCCCCCCCCCCCCCCCCAAAAAAAAAAAAAAAAAAAATCCAAAACCTGCAAGTATTTTACCAAGCAGGATTAGGACCTTAATTAATTAGAATATAGTTACAAGTACTATGGAAGTATATTTTTATAGCATAATAGGAAGGAAAAAGCAAGTGTTGATCCGGAATGAAATATTCATACTGGAATTTTAAGTCGTATACTCTTTTGTCTTCTGAGACCGTGTTAAGGTTTCTTTGCTCCTGTTGCAAGACTGGGTCTTGCAAGTCCTCACCTTGTTATTCTGCTGCATGCAGAGGACTGTAGGGATAAGGAGATGTCTACCCTAAAAAGAAAATAAAAACTTGGGAAAACTAGTGATCATTGACATTTTTTTTTTATTATTTTTTTCTCCCCCCCCCCCCCCTTTTTTTTTTCCACCTAAGCATTTATTTCCAAAGGTGGGCCTAGGATTTTAGTGCAATATAAAAGTTGCAGCTACTGGTCATAAGCCAGTTTTGTTGACAGTATATATACTGTCAACATAAGACCCCACAGCAGTTCCCACTGAAGGTAGTGGGGGGTGAGCCTGGGTCTTGCTTTCAATTTTTTATCTCATTTGGAATAATCTTAATTTATTTTAACAAAAGACTTTGGTGTTTGCCAGTAGGTTATACGTTTCCTGAAAGAAAGAAAAATGAAGTGTGTCTAAATGCTTCCATTCAACAACAACAACAACAAAGTGCGTGCTATGATAAAAAGATGGAGCATTACTTCTGTACTGATTCTTCTGTTGGTCTTTCTTAGACTTTCTTTAATGCAGATTTTGCAAAAGAAACCGACAGAATCATTTCTAAATATACGGGCCCAATCTTGCAGGTGCTTGCTTGTCTGTTTAAGCAGTGCTATAGATGTTAGCAGGATCAACGTGTATGAAAGTAATACACTAAATGGTCAGTCCAGTGTTGACTAAGGAGGAATAAAACTTGATCACTGTTATGCTCATCTTTTTGTTAGAAATGTGTTAATACAGTGGGGTTTTTTATTGCTCTGTTAGGAGTGGAGTAATTAAGGTCATTTGATAGTCAATCATTATTGTTTTTTCCATCTGTTTACATTGCTGCCTTAGAGTCATGTTCGTTTTGCTTTAATGAAAATATTTGCATTTTTGGCAGAATAACCATTTATGCCATTTTGCTTACGTCACTTGAATGAGTTGATCTCCTCCACATCCTACAAACAGCTTATTGTCCACCTGCAGCTCCTCTTCTCTTTTCGCCCCTCACCGGTGCAAGGTGTATGTGATGGAGGCTTCGTGCAGCTGCATGCTGAGTGCAGAGCTGCTGGACACCGCCGGCTGAACATGCCCTTGGGAAGAGCCTGTCGGCAGCCTGAGATGCCCCGCTCGCAAGCTGCAGCCCAGGAGCTCTCATCCAGGCGGGAATGCCCTGTGGCAGCTGGCGGCACAGCCTCCCCCGCTGAGCTCCTACCGCACCCAGCCCTGTTGCCCAATGGTGAAGCCTCCTCTCAGATTCAAGTAGGATTAGGTTCCCATTGTGCGTTTAAGGGTGTTGAAAGCAGGGCTCATGCGAGGTGCTCCTCGTGGGATTGATAGCAGAGGTTGTGCAGGTAGGCATGAGCCTTGCTGTCGGTGTGGGGAGAACAGAAGCTGCACACCAGCAGGGTGCCGCTGGCAGGCTGTAACTTGGGCTACCTAAGGAAGGGCAAAGCCTCCTGGAATGCAGTCCATGAACAGGAGAGCACTTAATTAAAGCGTGCATAACTAGCTTGTGTTTTTTTCCTGAACTTGTGAAGTGGTTAGATCACTGAGGAGAGTACAGCACAGAGGGATAAATTGAGCTAGCCAGCTTTCAGAGCATCTGTCAGAAGATTTTACTTAAAAAAATAAATATATTGTGAAATGTTTTTACTGCCTGGAGCTCACAGTTGAAAAGTGAAGGTTGTTAGTGGAGTGAAGTTACTAACTTGGCATGGGTGAGAATGGGAAATGCTGAGGCTGTTCCTGTATTTGTATGTTACTGAACTGAGCCTTTCTGATCCTAGTGGATCTGGACCTCAGTACCCTTTGGAGGGATGATTTCACTTGTTCTGAGTCACCTGTGACCAAAAAGCTAGACAGCATTTGGGGCTGTCAGAGATGATTTATTATTAAAATAAGTAATATACATAGTATATTTTATAGCTGCGAATAAATGTTGATATGATTATTTTAATTATGCATGCCAGTAACCGCTGTATTGAAGGTATCCCTTAACATAAGAGTTTTCTTTCTCATCATTTCTTTCAGTGCTTTTTCAGCCAGCGTTCTCTCTTGGCGCCCATGCTTTGCCAGCTCTCAGCTTCTGCTCTGCACAACCACACACAGCCCCAGCCAGCGATACCAGGCCTTGCCCAGATTTGATAGCCTGCCTTGCTTCAGATGTTCTGTGCACGGGAGATCTGAATGCGAAGTAGTTAGCATGCCCCTCGGGCTCTCCAGAGCCTGGGATCAAAGGCCTCTTGCTGGCAGTCACTGATGGAGAATGTCGCCCATTATCTGGGTGTCTGATCACTTCTTAGTCTTGGCACTAGCTGTTCTTGCAGTTCCTCTTCTGTATGGCAGGGGAGGACCAGGGAAGGAACCTCAGCAAAACGGGACCCTCCGCTCCAGTCTGAATGCTGATAGTCCTTCTAGAAGTCCCTTTAGACTTGCATGGACCAGGGAAAGATGGATCACATTCATTGCAATACATCACTTTTGGTTTTGCCAACTTCTGTTTTACTGTTTTCTATAGATCTGCTCTGGCAGATACCAGGTCTGTCCTTAAAACTCTATCTTTGCATGCACGATTATACCCACAGGTAATAGGAAACTAGGGTTTCAAGAGAAAACCTGATCCCATTGCTAGATAATAGCAGTTTCCTAAATAAATGTGTGGTTGCCTCGAGGCTTGAGGTTGTTGCCAGATGCACCTTTTTTTGATTGGTGAGAACAGGAGATGACGCTTCATGGTATATAAGAGCAAGAGAAAGCAGAGGAGCACAGATAAGCAGAGCAAGCCAGTCACCTGGAAAGAAGAGTTGAGAAGGTGTTAAAGCAGCTGCTTGCAATGGCATTTGGAATGCTAATCTATATTTTGCTGAAAGGTAGGTCTGGAGATTTTTCCGTGTCACAAATTACAAGGCTTTGCTGAATAGCACTTCACTCCTTCTGAAAAAAGCAGAGGAGGGACTGGGAAAAAGATATAATGAAATTATTAAGCTGACTTATTTAAGCAATTTTAAGCCTGGATGAAATTTTAATCAATAGGATGTAATTTAGGTTATTTTGAAAGAAACTACTTTGACCAGTAAGTAGATGTAATGTTGTCTGTAATGCATTACTGGTACCTGTGCTGTAAATGGCATAAGGTAGTAGAAATGAGAACAGGAGGATGTGTGTTTTGGAACTCTGGAAATGGCAGTTTGTTTCTCCACAATTGTAATTATGCTCTGACAAAAGGAGGTTTGAGGTGAGAGCACTGCAGAAAGAACTGTTTTTGTTTTGCTGCATTACATCAGAATTGTGTTAAGTGAATACATGTTTTCTAGGTGAAATGAACCTTGAATAGACATGCTGAGTTTTTCTGTTACAGTAAACATCTATTTGCATTATACAGCAATGGGGGCACTGAGTGAAGAGTCTGCTTTTACCGTTTCATCCCTCAGTGCAGAATTATGGAATAACTGGACGAAAAACAACACTGAAGGTACTTCTTTTTTGGTCATCTTTGTCTTTATTGTCACTGAATAAAATGATAGATATTTTTCTCTGATAACTGCCATAACACCTCTGCCATGTAGACAATGTTGAATATATATGTACCTTTTGTATTCTGAGATGAGCAGTTCTCTTTTCATGGAGTCCTGAAAACCTCTCTGAGATCATGACTGTCAAGAAGCTGGAGTAGGCTCAGCACTTACCAGCTAAAGAGCCACTTACCCAACCCAGGCATAAGTGGAAAAAAGGTATTTTAGGGGTACTTCGGGTAAATTCTGTGTGCTTTTGATGGTCATTCTTGTTACTTCTAACTAGTGGTTGGTTTCTGACAATTAGCCCTCCTTAGTCTGAATCTTTCCACGTTCAAGTGAGAATGCAGCAAATTAATGTGAAATGATGCCTGTCCTTACTGTTACTCCATAGCTTCCTCATTTGTTACAGTTTTGCTCTCGGCTATCACAGCTTCCACAGCTCTTCTCGGCATGCTTGCTCTCTCTTTTCTTTCTTTTTCTTTTCTGACTGAAATGTGAACTCAAGCTGTTTACCTGCCAAGTTGTGAGGCCAGAGCGCTGTGTTTATCCTGCAAGCTGCATTCTTGATGTTAATTCAGGTGCTAGTGATGTCATTACTTTCTGGAGAATAGTGCAATCTGCAACTGAGGTTTTGGCAGGTCAGTAAAGGAGGAAAGGATTTTAACCGTGATACTTATTAACCTCTTTGTACTTTTGAAAGTATATAAACATGCATACAAATCATCTTCTGTTAATTGTAAGTCATCTCAGGATGTCTTACAAGCTTTTTTGGTAGATACGTAAGCTTTTTATTTTCCTCATAATTCAAAACAAGTCAAACTACTGTTCTCCTTTTTTCTGTCTGTAGTTTGTCCTAGTGATATAGTGTTACAAAGCTATATATATGTATAATATATATGCACATATATAAGTGTAAACATTTATATAAGGTTAAAGTAAAAGATCATTGTCATTTTTCAATGCAGGCATTTCATTTATTAGCACAAGACTTGTGGTTTGACTTAGTGGATTTATCTGAAGTTACATATGGAGCAAATAGTGATATAATGAAGTAGAAATATATTTAGTGACTTCTTAAGTAGCCTGTTAGTGTTGTATTTAGAAGGCATGAGTTACACATCATATTTTAACAAGATGGATATTCGATTAGGAAAAAAAATGCTTAAAAAGGTCATCAAAGAAAATGGCTGTATCACTATAATCTGTTATTTTAGCTTCTGTTTCTCTACCAGTGAGGCATAAGTTGTAATTTGTTACAAAAGTTCAGCAATAAAGGATTCTAGGAAAACTAATTTGCAAGTAAATATCACTGGAGGAACTGGTAGATTTTGTGGAATTGCAAGTTCCCTGGGGTCCTTCGGGTTCCCTGAGGTGCAGTTCGTGGAAAACTGTTACCTTCTGATCAGTGAACATCTACTGGATCAGCTTCTATTCCCTTACTGTATATGTTGAACAGGCTTTGCTTGCAGTCACTGCTGAGGTGGGGTAATGTTAGGTTGTGTAGTCAGCGGGGGCACAGGTGTTGACAGGGTGCTTGGCAGGGGCTGGTGAATCGCAGATCAAGAAGCTGGGGCATCCTTTCTGCTAAAGAGAAGACAGAGTTCGTGCTAAAGAGGCGGTGGTTGCAGGGAATTGGTCAAGTAGGAGTTGGGAATGCTGGCAAGGGGTTAGTTTTACTGCAGAAAAATGTGATCCGTTCAGTGCCTTGGGCAGCTTCCTCCAGTGGCCTGTAGTGGCAGCCCTGAACTGGGGCTGACCCATGGCCTCTCCTTTGTGTCTCTCCTGTTCCCCCACCCGCCACACACGGTGCTTGAATGCCAAGCTGTCACTCACTCGCTGGGTTACTCTTTTTGCCACTAGTTGTTTAGTTTTAGCATGCCCAGGTTTCCAGATGCCTGTCGTTTTGATCTCGTGTCAGATCTTGCCAGGTGTATCTGCTTCAATGACTCAGTTGCAGGCAACTGTCAAGTGCTTACACAGCATGCTTTTTTCCCCTCATGTGACTTGAAAGGACACATAGATGTGTTTATTCAAAGCTTATTTAGTATCTAGGTGGATAATGTGATACAATTAGTATTATGTTTTGGAAGGGGTTAGGTGGAAAAACTTTGTTTTCAAGATTCTCAGTTCTTTTCAAGACAATTATTTCTGCTTATGCAGGGTCACAATACTTAGCACCTAAAATTACTGCATGTTCATTTCAGATCTGACCTTGCAGCCTACGCTGGTCGTTCCTGATGGTAAAAAAGAAATGTATTGTTCAGTTGTGACCTACATGGCAAGGTGCTTGTCCTAAAGGCTTTCTAGGCAGGCCTCTGCTCTAGGCTGACCTTGGTTTCAGATGGCAATATTGATTTTGATTATGCTCAGGAGAACAGGTCTTGCATACCTATGCAAAACAAATCTTCCTCTCCAAGTATGTAGGTGAAACGCTGCCATCTCTTGGTAGAAATGGGGTAAATCAAAACTGAAGCACAGGGATGTTTAGGCAGTGCAAATACATTTGCCTGAGTCCTAGATAGACGTTGCTGGGGAGTCCATGCCTTTTGACATGAAAATTTGTATGTTCTTTGATTATTTTTCTCCTTTGTCAATGAAATGCTCAGTCCTCCAATAGATCTCTTCTCAGGGCCCAGCAGAAGAGTGGCAGGAAATATACAGTAAAAGGTTATGTTTAACACTTATGTTTTGATATTGTGTAGTTCAGTGTTTGACCTTCACTGAGCTAAAATTGTGGGGTTGGTCCATTGGTGCAGGAGTGCTTGAAGAGAGGTGTAGTGAAGTTTAAATGTACCAAGCTGGTGTCTGCAGAGCTGTCTCCTGAGTTTGTCTGCAGTGTTCCTGAGGCAGCCAGCAGAGTGCCAGGCCTTGATGCTAGAGCTCACTTGTACGTATTTCTGACTCCTTTCCATGCCATGTGTGTGATTCAAACTAAAAAGCCCTGCACTGGGCAGGCACAGCCTTAGAGCAGAGACACGGCACTGGTTTCAGCATCTGGGAGCCTAAGTCTCAGCACATCCTTCAGTCTATCTGGATTGCTGCTTGACTACTGTACCAAAAAACTGTGGTTGCATTGTTGAACCAAAACTTCTTAAATCAAGGCATGTTTTTCTACCTCAATAGCTTTTGCTGTAAAAGAGAAGTCCACGTACTGTTTGCAGGAAGAAGACTAGAATTGTTTCTTGTTCTCTGTATGTTCTTTTGTGAGTTGAGGGTGTGACTTATTTCTCAGCCCACTGTTTTCGAAGTGATGTTATGTGATACGACAAATAGAGATAACCTTAAATCTCTTATGCGTCTAAACCATTTGATTCACAACTGGACCCGTGCCGTCCTGAAATGCAGTCGTATGGTAAACAGAGTAGCTGGTTGCTATCACTTGTCAACTCTTTGAAGCAGCTTGCATATAGGAAGAAGAGAAGCTTGCCTAATTGGACAACCAAAGGGAACTCCTGCCATGAAATGACTCCAACTGGAATTTGGACTGGAAACTGGGCAATTGCTATTGTTATTCCTGAAAAATGCTAAATGGGGCCTTGAGTTGACCACAGTAGGCCAGGGCAGCCTGAGACTTACATGCCTGACAAATCATTCCATCAGCGTAGTATCTCCCAGCTTTGATTCAGTGCTTACTCAGAAAGGAAGGCTTCTGCTCACTGCGCTGTTGTTTAGTCACTCTGAGCAGATATTGTCACCTTCCTGCCAGATACTACTTTTCTCATGGTGATAACTGAAAGCTGAAGTTGACTTATGCTCAGTTAAGACACCACTAAATCAAGCCCCTGAAATACTAAAGCATTGCTTGGACACCCCACCCCATTAGTGATTGCTCTAACTGGGGAGAGAGACCATTTCAAACAGATACTCCTTTGACTGTGAAGTAGTCTTTTGTCCTTTGGCTGGGAAGAGGCAAAAGGAATTAATCCATCATTTGCATTCAGCTTGAGAAACACACTGAGATTCATTCAAAACTGTTGATTTATCCTGAAGGTGTTCCAGGGGATTGATGTTTTCATGGATTGCATGTTGGATAATGCTGATCTTATACTTGGGCCAATCTTACCTCATCTTTCTTATACGCACTGCTGAAAAGGAAGTATTGAAGTTTGTGCATTTTTTTTTTTCTCTAAAGCCATGCTGGAGTGTCTGAGAGGCTCATTCTGCTTAGCAATGTCTGAGCTGGTTTGCAAAATATATCACAGTAAACCTATGTGTTGAGTATCTTTCTGCATTAAATGTCTGCCCATCTTGGATTGTGAAAATATTCTCAAATGATTTGACTTTTCCCAAATATGACATAGCATTTCCTTTCCCTTTTGCAGTAGACTACACAGAGCAGCCGAGGCTCTTGAAGCTTATGCAAGCCTGTCTTGAGGAGCACCACAGCTATTGTATTAACGGGCTCTGTGCTTTTCACAGTGAACTGAGGAAGCCCATATGCAAGTAAAGAACACTGTTTATAATTACACTTCTTAGAGAAGTAGTTTCTTTGTCTGCAACGCATTATTCATGTCATGCAACTACTTTTTAGCAGAGCGCAACTTTTAAGTGCCAGTGAAACACTAGGAGGCTTAAAGTTTGGCACATGCTTAAATGCTGTGCTGATTCAAGACTGTTGATGAAACAGTAGTGCCATGGCACTGTAATACCAAGGAAAGGAGACTGAAAATACACAGCTTTCTAAATCTTCCTAAAGGATGGTTTGACATCATCTCAAGTCACGGCTGTGCTAGAGTCAAAGGATTGGATTTTCACAGGTAGCAGGAGAGGGGTCAGTAGTTCCAAACAAAGCAGCTGCAATTCCCTTACCAAGCCAGGACCTTGCCGTATACTTAGAATTTTCTATGTCCGTATTAGGCAGGTTTGTCCATGGCAGATGCTACAGCAGCTAAAGCTCAGCAGAGCACAGTGCCGTTTGTCCACGTCCACTTGGATGAGGGTATGTTTAGACTGTGTTTGCTGCTGTGACTACAATGTTTGAGCTAGCTTTAAACTAGATGGGCTGGTACAACTGGTAGTCTTGCTGGAGTTAAGAGGTCCTGACTGAGCACTAAATTGAGCCTTCCCTACCTGAGACTCGCTCTGAATTGTTAAAACCTGATCAAATCCAAAATGTATTTCTGGAATATAAAGCAAAAGAAGTTCTGTATTATTTAGTTTGGTGTGTATTTATTTTGTAGGTGCCTTGCAGGCTATAATGGAGAGAGGTGTGAACACCTAACACTAAATTCCTATGCACATAATTCTTATGAACGCTACATTGCTGTGGGAATTGGTATAGGAATACTGACCAGTGGGATACTTGCTATCATCTACTGCTACGTAAGAAAGAGGTATGGAAGATAGATAACCTCTTCAATACTTTGATCTGAGTTTTGTGGGGGAGGAAAACTGTGCAGAATTTTATCAGGGAACTGAGAGTGTGTTGTTACCTCTATTACTCATTGTGTGATCTTAAACATTGCTGATACAGAGATTCCCTCATTTTCATTTTTAGACAAACAGGTAAAATTGTGCCGACTGCCCAAGGCATGAGCTGCATTGAGGCTTCTTAAATGAGTTGGGCAATTAGATTTAGTTCTGTTCAGACTACTGTGGTTTTAGAGGTTTTTTATTTATTTATTTATTTATTATTATTAAAATCATGTCCTGTAGCCAATTTCAGATGCAGAAAGTTGAAATCGCCTTACAAAGTTTGCATGGGTGAGACCGCGCTCTGAAGACCTGGAACTGGGACACTTACCAGCTTACCTGTAAACTAGAGAAGATTCTGACTTGGGAGGCTGTCCCGTGCCATCTCACAGGTACTCCCGCCTCGCTGCTGAGATGAGGGAAAGGGAATGGCACAGCAAGGGCATAAAGGAATTCCTGCAGAACTGACGGGCTCCATTCACTTTGAAGAAAGATTTCCTGTCTTAAGTAATGGTTGCTGTATGAGCAGCTCACAGCAGCTAAAGATGCTTTCAGCCTTCTCAACACTCTCCTGTAGTACACGTTTGCTGAGGGAAGGACTGATCGTTTCAGCTGCTTTTCAGTCATTTCAAGCCCTAGCAGAGTGTTGTGGCCTGGTCTTCCTCCCTCCTTCCCTTTATTTTTCCCTCTGGCAGAAAAGTGCAACCTGTCTCACAATGGAATTGTTCTTTGAATGTCACATACTGACAAGGAGCCACCTGGGTTTGTCTTTCACAAGCTCTGCTGTATGTGGGCTGGGAACAACAGCCCTCTTCCTGTACTGCAGGTATCTGCAGTGGGCTAAGCAGAGCATAGGCTTTTACTACCATCTGGATGAAATTATAAAACATTTGAGACTGGGGAAAGCGTATCATCCTCAGAGACTTGTGTAAAAGTAAGAATAAAAATTACACCATTTCTGGAAAATCACGTTATGAGATCTCAGGGCATTACAGATCCTTTGAATTTTGACAAGCAAAGAACTTGGACATCTTCACCCAAATAGATACTGAGTGCGCACACAGACAAAGAACTTTACTCTTCCTTTACATCATAGAGCAGCTCATCAGAGTCTCAAGACCTTCAGGCAAATCATTACCTTCCTGGACCATGCTTTCAGACTAAGACCTCAGTTGCTGAGGGAGCTGAAATATTGTTATAGAACTCCCAAGATGGTTCTGTCCAGGAAGCAAACTCACTCTGTTTTCACAGTATGTGCACAATATCTCCACTGAAATAAGAAAGAAATGAATATAAGGATTTTGTTCTACCTCGACCTGACAGATTACTTACTACATACTTAAAATATTTTGGCTGTATGTGATTTTTTTTTTCCCCTATCTTGCCTATGGAAAACCAAATCAAAGTACTTGCTGTTCTAAGAGAAAGGAAGAAAATTGGTTCTGAAGACTGTGGCGCTGACTGTGGCTTGTCACTGACATTTGGAGTATTTGCCAGTGCTTGTGAGACTGGCTCCAGGAGATTTTCATTTCAGATACTGCATGTTATAGACACATACCTGCTTTGCTTAGTCATCTGCAAGAAAGCAGCAATCGGGTACCTCAGAAACCCTTGGAATTTTCAGGGCTAATGTACGCTCCTGAGTTGAGGTGCATTGCTGTAAAACTGAGTTTGTTTGTTATGTGAGTGTCGTTTGTTTAAAAATCTGTGTATTCATGAGCCTTTTGCAGTACTGGTGAAATGTGCATGAATGACTGTGGTGCTGAAAGGGAAAACGTGCATTTAGCACTTCAGTGATCTGGTACACTTGGCTTTTCATGCGGGGGCATCCTGCTCAGTAGTAGAGCTGTCTCAGCTCTAGGTGGATACCAATAAATAATGACATGTCTCACGTTGTGTGGTTAGACTCCCTGTGCAACAGCCAGGAGCCAGCAGCAAGTGTGTGTGCTGTAAGGAGTGTTAGCGAGGAGCTGGGAGCACATGCTAATACTTCTCTCTGCTTTGACACAAGTATTTTGCAAGATGCCTTGAATGCATTTCCCAGCTTTCAGCCTATTGGGTTTTTTTTCAGTCTTAAGATAACTCTTCAGATCCATTTCTGTGTTCCTTTATGTTCTCCTGACCTCCTCTTTGTACTTGCTGAGATTCTGCTCTTCCTATTTTTTCGGTCATCTTTCAGCAGTTGTGCTGGTGTATTCTTTGTTATAGATAATGTAGTGAGAGTACAGTTAGACCATAATTAAAACATACACTCAGTGACCACACACAGCTCACCCACACTTGGCAGAGGCTGCACTGAACTACCTATTGGAAGTGTGCCTGTAGTCAGGAGAACTCCGGAGGGAGATTTTCCCAGTGTATCTCCCAGAGCTAGACAGACCAAATGAGAAAAAGCCGCAAAGCTTTTGGCATTTGACAGGACACATGTATGATGAAATGGAAGAATGGGAGGAGGAGAGGTCTTTTCTTTGTTTTCCTGATTTTCCAAGTGGTATTGAGGCTTTCAGAAAGGGATTCCTCCCCACCTCGTTGCTGTATGCTCTGGGTGCTAACGCTTGCCATGTGAGCAGGCTGCCATCTCCTCAGGCACCCAAGGCTGGTGGCACCAACACAGATGATTGCCTTCTCTGTCACTTCCCAGCATGTTTACAGGCAGTAGCCTGTGTGGGAGAAGAGTGTTATCATTGCTGTTTTAAGGGATTTCATCAGGCCCAAGCTGTGTTTGAAGCATTGCTGCACGAATGAATCACTTGACTGTTTCATACAGCGGCCCTGCTGAGGAAGTCTGCGCCGCCTCAGGTTGCCTCGTGGAGTCAGCCGTGCTGAGCCCTGCCTTGGTAAGTGACAGATGCTACTGCACTATTATTGTGTGTTGCTGCTTACAAGGTAGAATTTCCTGCAGAACTGGCAAGTCGGAGGATCAGGATCATCTTTCCCGGCTCAGTGGCCAGGTTCAGACTTCTCCTCTGATGACATAACAAAAAGAATGAACAAGTTGTTCTTCCCAATAGCTGCACATGAAAAAGAAAATCCCTGCAATTTCATGAGGAGACCCTGTGTTTGGCTCCAAGGCAGTCCTGCATCAGGCCTGCTGAGCTACTGCCTAATTGGAGCTAAGGGTGAGCCACTAAAGACTGGGAACTGACACTGAGTGACAGAGCACTTGCCCTGTGTCTCACGCTGGCTGCTGGAAGCCAGACTGATGTGTTTTCCTGCAGTGCATCTCTCAAGATAGCTCCTCTTAACCAACCCATCCCCTCCCCTGCTTCGCTGACTTCTGCCCTCTCCATCCACTTGTAATTTGTTGCTAATGCCTGACTGTCTTGGGCACCTTCCTCAAAGTTGACTTTCATTTTCTGATGAGGTGCATTGCATGGCCTGCAGTTTCCCTGATCTCAGCAAGGTCCTTTTGAAATGACCGAACACAAGACTATGGAGAAATGGCTGTCCTTGGAAAAAACTGCTTTTAATCCTGGGTGGAGATGGATCCGCTGCTGATGTTTGGAGCACGCACAGTCCCTGCAAGAAGTGCAAACTCTCCAGTCACCTGCCAGGATGTGCTGTTCCCTGGCAGTGGTGCCAGTGACCTCCCACATGTGTGATGTCCCAGTCTGCAGTGCAGCAGCTGCAGCCAGTGCCAGCAGCTTCTGCAGAAGGTGTGAGAGATCTGGGGACAGGCAGGCAGGTGGGAGACAGTTTTCCCCCAGATGTTTTCCCTAGTCTTCCCATAACCAAAAGCACAATTTGCATGATAACACAGGAGGATTTCTGATCTTTTCCATTTTTTATATGACAACACAGCTGCTGCTTGTGTGTGTTAAAAGGAAAAAAATGATTTGTGTTAATGTGGGTATCACAAGCTAACTAGTGCATGGCCAGAGCATAAGTACTGGGCTGTATCCAAAGAACCAAACTGTTTCCTTGCCAATGGCTTTTCATTTCCTGAAAAAGTAATTTGACTCTGATCACTATTTCATACATTTCTGTCATTCTTTACACCTGGTCTGTGTTTTACTTCATTTCTGGTGCATGAGATAAAACTGCAGTTGTAAGAAATCCCACAAGCATAGAGAAACCTAACTTTGCACAGAATCAATTTAATAATTAAGCTCATAGTTACTCCCAAAACTCACAATCCTTAATGAATTTAGAGCATTTCTGTGAAGCAAGGCAGTACTTTGAGGATGATGTGCTGAGGAGAACTAAGACCTAGAAGGATTAAGGTCATGTGAATGTCAGGCATCAGGGTCTCGGCTCCAGGTTTGTTAAGCGTTCTGGTAGTGCTGTAGCCAATAGACCATCCATTTTCACCTTCTAGGTGAAATTAAGAAATATTTAGCAAAAGGCTAAAAGACTCCTTAGAAGTGTTTAGAGAGGAAAGAAAAGAATGTACCATTATTGATAATGAAGAAAGTTGTAAGGGCAAAAAGAAAAGGTCCTTTTTGAATATTAGCCTCAATTCTATGTTTTGTATGACATGAAAACAAGCCTTTTTTTTCTTTTTTTTTCTTTTTTTTTCTTTTTTTCTTTTTTTTTCTTTTTTTTTGAATACTCTTGGAGCTGTTCAGAGAACGATCGTAACAAAATGTAAGTACTTGAAAATGACAGTTTGTGTGGTGTAGATAAATAGTCTGAAGGTTATATACAATTGACTCTAGCCCATCACTGGTAGAGTCGTGAATAGTCCTATTTATTTCAGTGGTTCCTGACATGGAAAGGAACTGTTTCAAAGCAGTAGGAGAGCTGAGTCCAGCCATTTGAAAAGTAAGCATAAAAAAAAAGGAGGGGGATAAAATGGAATGGCTGGTGCCTGTGTATCCTGGTGCCTGGTGGCTCAAAGACATGAGGGAGTAACTGGACCTGCCTTCAGAAATACTGCAAGTGCAGTCTGCACAGCTCAGTTCTCTGCCTGCTTTTCAGAGCTCTGTGGGCATTTGCAGTGACAGGTGTAAGAGACATCGTGTCATTAGCCTAGTTCTGGAGAAGGAAACACCTGTAGAGGTCCCTATTGTACTAAAAATCTGGTAAATTACTTGGTACTCCCTCTTTGCAGCCACTGATTAAAGCTCAGTGTAAGTAGTCATTAATAATCATGACAGCAATAAAGTCTTACACTGTGGCCAGACTTTGGGCTGCTCCTACTCTCGCTGAATTAGAGCAAGAGGAGGCTCTGTATAAAGCAGCTCTTAGCAAGCTGACAGTGTCTGTCATAGCACTGTCGGCACTACTGGCTTGTGCAGAAGAGGAAGAGGAAAATATTCATTGTTGTGGTGCTTGGAGCGTGCTGTACAGATGCAAGGAGGGAGGCACCTTGGAGTTTACAGCATTTTAGGCAGCTCAACTGTTTGCTAAAGCTAGAA